GATGACAAGGTCATATTTTTCATGTGTGGAATAAACCATAACTTTCATGATTTTGAGAAGATGGCAAACAATGTCTTTGCGCGTAGATACTACAGTGTTGGATGGCAGTGCATTTTCATCCTCTCCTACTGAGCCTTTTGGACAAAGCAGATGGAAGTTGAAGAAATTTTCTCGGTTGCCTAAATTTGTTGCATGTGTAATTCAAAGGAGGCTGATCCAGACTTTGTTCTAGTTTTAGGGATGGCATTTGATACCTCGAGTGTGCTTATTTTAAGTTTTTTACTCAATAATATAATTATCGAGGATAAAAAAAAAGATATATATTGCAAAAATTGTGGGCATGTCAATAAAACTCTCAGGGTTGGATAACCCATTACCCACTTTTTCGAGTCGGGTAAACATATGATGATCGTTTTCTGAGTATAATTATGCTACCCAATTCCGTGTCGGGTCGGGTTTTAGTACGATAGAAAAAAAAACGTTACTTGACCCGATTACCCTACTCGTTTACCCAAAAACATTGAATCTTATACACATATCTTGTTATAAATATAAAGTTAAATCATTTATTATAATTTTGGTTAGTAGTTTAAATTTTATTATATCTTTCTGTTTTTTTTTTCTTTTTATCAAATTTTCTTTTAGTTGTACAATAAAAATTTAAATATAGAATTTTTAAATGTTATATCATACCTAGACTATAAAAAATAAATAATTATGTCTCATTTTTTTATTATAGAAATATTATTTTATAGTCATTTTATTGTCAAATTTATTTAATAAATTGTTAACTACACACATCTATTTGTCAAATTTAGTTAATAAATTATAGCTGAGACCGAAAATCTAAATTAAAGAATTTGGATTATCCACACCCGACGAGGACACGATAACCCGTTGGGTAAAATCCAACGCAAACCCAAAGTTGACTAACTGAGTAAGGGGTCGAGTCCGGGCAAGGTTATGCAGGTCAACTTCGAGTTTGCCAAATCCCACCCGACCCGATTTTGAAACTGGATATTACCGTAGATGTGCCAACAGCAGATAATTCCCGGATAATGTATCGCATCACTTTTCCAAACGGCAAATAAAACCAGTGGCCCGAGCATACCCCAAACAGGACAGTGGAAATGGCGAGGCATCTTCTCTGCAACCTTCCGCCATCACTCCCTCCGCCGCCTTGGCCGCTATCTCGGCCGAGACCATCCACACTCAGGTCGCCGGAGACTAATTGTTCGCAGAAAATCTGGCCACTCACTCGAGCTCTGAGCTCCGCTATATTACCTCTAGCACTTTCCATCGGGCTTTTCTGTGCTTCTCCTCCGGACGTAATCTCGCTTGAATTAACCACTCCTCAAGAGGAATTAGTTTGCGTTGAGGACGAAAATTATGCAGACAGCCCATCCACGTCGCAAGTGGCGACGAACGAGGAGATCGTCGGAGAAGCCTGGCAGATCGTGAACGACAGTTTTCTCGACGCCGGAGGCCGGCACCGCTGGTCCTCCGATTATTGGCTTGTACGCGTTAGAACCTAATATTGGGTTAGCCTTTGTAAGTTCAACTCGTTATGCACGCGAGTGGTGGTGCAGTGCGATTGATTGATTGGTTTAAAATTTTTATTTTGGACTCAGAAAAAGAAGGAGGACGTGCTGGGATCTCCAATTCAGGCGAGGTCCAGGGCTCATGAGATCATCAGGCGAATGTTGGCGAGTTTAGGAGACCCCTACACTCGTTTTCTAACCCCTGCTGAGGTAATCGCCATTGATTTTGATCTTGCATAAGTTCAATTTCAGTTAGATATCTGTAGCCAACCGATGACTGTTGTGGTGTGTATTGAAACCTTCACTGCTGTTTGTCAAACCTTTGTTTTACAGCAGTCTTTTTTTTTAATACTTGTGCCGATATTGTAATGACTTACAAATAGTTTCAGTTTTTCTTATTCCATGGCATGTATTGGTCCTGTGGTTGAATCGAAGCTCTCAAAGATGGCGAGGTATGATATGACTGGGATTGGGATAAACCTAAGGGAGATTCCAGATGATAAGGGGGAGATAAAGTTGAAGGTATTGGGACTATTGTTGGATGGTCCTGCCCACTCGGCTGGTGTTAGACAGGTAGGGAGCTCAACCTTTGCCACACATGCAAACTTTCTTCAATCTTCTGTTTTATGTTCAGTGATGACATCTTATATTTGGTGAAATTCTCATTCTTGATTGGACATTTGGAGAGATCTTATAAGTTAGTGCCAAGTTAACATTTGTTCTGCCCAAGAGCATTGCTCGCACTATCTTGAAACAGAATTAATGAGAAAAATTTTCAAGTCAGCTGCTTGTATGCAGATGTGGACTATATGTAGGTTTTATTTTTATCACGTGTCTAAAATGTAATTTGAAAATGAATAATTCTTGACTGATCATGTCAGCTGCTTCATTACAGAAGACTTTGTGGTTATGTTTAGTAATTGATTGATGGATAAGCCTTTTTATTTTCAAAATTTTGGCCCACCATTCATTTGCATTACCATTTAATCCTTATAACGGGATATAATGGTTTCTTTTTGTCTGTGTAGTGTAATTTTACCTAATTAACAAATGGACCTACAAGTATTGTAGCTCAGTTTTCCTGATACTTAGTTCTAGTGTATCTGAATTTCTCACCATGTAAACTTTTGGTAGGGTGATGAACTCTTGTCTATTAATGGGGTGGATGTGAAAGGAAAATCAGCATTTGAAGCTTCATCAATGTTACAAGGCCCCAGTGAAACACTTGTGAATATCACGGTGAGTTGAATGTTGACCTTTTTTATTCTCGAATTTGCTTAATGTTTCTGCCTGTTTACCCGTTATCAAACAACAATGATTGTTAGATCAAGCATGGCAATTGTGGACCTGTCCAATCAATAATGGTTCCCAGGCAATCTATTGCAAAGACTCCTGTTTTTTACCGACTGGAGCAGGTTAAGAACGGTTCAAATTCAGTTGGCTACGTACGCCTCAAAGAGTTCAATGCTTTGGCCAGGAAAGATTTAGTTATAGGTAACATGATGCATAAATGCACAACTGTCTGTAATTTGATTTTGAAGTTGTTTACCCAATGTATGTTCTGATGCTAATGGTTTTGGCCACAATGGTTCAATGTTCTATACTTGCCTTTTGTAGCAATGAGAAGACTGAAAGACATGGGCGCCTCCTATTTCATCCTTGATCTTAGAGACAATCTTGGTGGACTAGTGCAGGTATGTTTCTGAAAAAAATATTACTTATGTGTAATCCGATATTGGCATTTTCATGTTCAAAACTCTCTCTTGCAGCTATTTTTTTTCTTTCGAGATACAGTAAAATATAAGAGAACATATGCTAAGCGGTTGTAGGAGTGTTCTAGTTTTCAGTAGTGTTCTTTTTTCTAGTTTTCTAATCCCTGCTCTGAACGGCGGTTACTGCAGGCTGGCATTGAAATTGCTAAACTCTTCCTCGACAAAGGGGAAACAGTACGTAAATCTTTAACATTTTTCATTCGGCGAATTAACAGTTTTTTGGTTGTTTCCACTAATATAGAATCGACAATCTGGTGAATTAGCTGTGGTTAGCATTTATTTTAAGACATGCTATGCTACTTATGAACGATCACATTATCTGCAGCACTTTGTATAAATAATGAGTTTGTTTTCTGGTTTATTGATAGGTAACTTACACTGTCGGTAGGGATCCACAGTCCGTGAAGAATATAGTTGCCGATACCTCACCTCTATTCAGTACTCCTCTTATTGTAAGTAATTGAGGCTATCCGTCACTTAGTTCAAGCCTAGAACCTCCGGACAAACTGATCAATGTCCCAAACTGTGAATGGCATAATTAATGTTCACATTGGGTTCTAAAAGAATCTTGTGATGTAGTCAAGACATTTTCTTCTGCTTTATCTCTTTTATGCTTTTCCGATAATTTTTTTCTTCATGACTTTCTTCCTTTGTTATCTGAGCAGGTTTTGGTAAATAAGAATACAGCTAGTGCAAGTGAAATTGTAAGTTCATTTACATAGTATATGCATTCAGAGTTCTATTCCTAAAACGGTATTGTGTTGAAAAGGTTATTCTTAATGCAAAGATGGTTGTTCTTATAGGTTGCTACTGCACTTCATGATAACTGTAAAGCTGTTCTTGTCGGTGAAAGAACGTATGGAAAGGTCCACATCCAAATATTTCTACTTCTTTTGTATTTTTCATATTTTATGTTTAGGTTTTATGTGCTATTACCCTTTTGTGTCCTAATTACTGTTTCCGACATGTCATCCAGTTACTTTGCTAATAATTTGTGTTTGAAAATACCTTCAGATGATAATCCAAGAGATCCATAAAATCTGAATATGCCCTTTTTTCCTTTTTCTTCATAATAATAAAATGTGCTGGTAATATTTTTATACAGGGATTGATCCAATCTGTGTTCGAGCTTAATGATGGGTCCGGCATGGTGGTCACCATCGGCAAGTATGTCACGCCGAATCATACAGACATTAATGGAAACGGTGTCGATCCTGATTTCCGTAATTTTCCGGGTAAGATGCCTTTCGGTTTTATTGTGACCAATATGAAGTCTGTAAGTTCTGTAAATCTGAAGGTGTAAATTTGTTCGACTGCAGCCTGGAATGATGTCACAAAATACCTATCTGCATGCCACAAGCCACAAGAAGGATGAATTCCATTCTATTTCTGTCGGTGTTGTTTTTCGCCTTGTGAGTTTGTTTTTTAAACTAAATTTAGCTGTTTCCTGTATTTTCATGCTTCCATTTGAAGGCCTACTTATTTTGTAAGAGAAAAACAACAGTTTGATCCGAGTTTGAACTTAGCCTACCATACAAGAATACACTTTAAAAAGACATGTACACATATATATAAATACATAGATGAGTATTAACCTTAGATCGAGTTTGAACTTAGCCTACCATACAAGAATATACACTTTACGTGACTAACACACCCCTCAAACTCAAACTCAAAATGGTATAGTAGATATCAATTCGAGTTTGCTAAGAAGTAAAAGAAAAGCGACCGGGAAGGAGAGACTTTGCAAAGACATCTGTTGTTTGATCCGTAAAGGAGACTGAAACAAGTTGCACAATCTTATCTGCAACATGTTGTCGAATGAAATGACAACCAATTTCATTATATTTGGTGCGCTCATAAAACGTATCACTATGAGACACTTTAAAGCAGTCTAACTATCCCAATGTGAAGCAGTAAACGATGACTGCGTCACACCGAGAATAATTTGAAATAATCAAGGAAAATTAAATTTAAAAAAAAAATGCATTTTGTAGGCTATTAACAAGATATACTTAAATTTATTTTCGTTAAGTGTTTGAATAATTAAAAATTTAAATGCTTAATTGTTTAGAATAACACACTTGTTTAAAAAAAATATTTGTTTTTTTTTCCTTTTTTACATAGTTAGAAGAAAATATATTTCAATCTTGTCTTTTAGATTTACTATTTTTATCAATCTTTCAATTATATCATAGCTCAAATATTAATTCATATAAATAAATAGCAATTATAAAGATTTTTTTTTAAATAATTTAAACATTCACAAAATTATGATAATTTAAAAATAAACTTCCTGATTTAATAATATTAAAAAAATTTACGTAATTAAAGAAT